TGCCTTCTTCCTTCTATGTTCCATCTCATCTGTGTGATTGAAGACCACATGGAGTTCTGCTATATCTTTGATGAGTTTTACTTGCCTCTTACTCTTCTCCAAGTGGATGCTCTGCCTCCTAACAGTGGCCATGACAACCAATACTTCGCTGCTGTTATACGTTGCCCAGTGGTGGCACCAACCTTTCAAAAGAGCACAGCAATGAACTCCTCATCTTGCAAGCTTTGCAACAATAGTGCCATTTGAAAGGTTATTAAAGTTTGAACAATCAAATAGTTATTAAAACCCCCCTACTTTCTCAAGATCTTCTACCTTCAGAAAATCTGCCACCGATGCATTTGCCTGGGGAATGAAATGTTTTTGCTGCATCTGTGTCAAAAAGCCCAAGGCTTCGGATAATTTATAAATGCCAATTCAGTTTTTTAAAATTCTAGAAGTGGGGGAATAGCAGGTTTAATACATGGGGTGGGAGATCCTGCTTTTTTACTTGTTTTGGCAATCTTGAACCACCCTTGTGAGGTTCTTCATCTAAGGTACGTACTGCTTCTGGGCATATAAGTATATTATTTCATTATATCATTTGCAGTTAGCACTCATTGTTGTCTTGACATGTGAGTAAAATCTGTCAGAAAATCTGGTTTCTATTTCCCACTCCTTATGTTGTTCTCCTGAGATGCCCTTCTGCTCTCATAGTTTTGAAAGATTTGCCTCTACATTCCATAAGTTTGAACAGTCTTTTGAGACTGAAATTTATGTTCTTTTCTTGTACTTTGGTTCTTTCTTCAGATACTGAATGCTTACTCTCCTTTTGCATGTTTTACCATTTCCCCCCCTTTCCCCCCCACCCATTTTAGTCTACTTCTGGGCCTGCTAACCTTAGATAGAGTTATATATTGTGTCTGTGCAATGCTACATTGCTCTTCATATTGTTTAGGCTGTTTGGCCTCTTCTATGAAGTTTTCCTTTGGAAGGGTTGCTTATAATATCGCCTCAATTTTCATTGAACAAATTGCTTGGATATTGGTCAATACAGTGCCTGTTATAGCACTGATTTCCTAACACAGTATGCATGTCAAGAATTAAGCCAGCTTTATTTTCATCTAAATCATCCTTATTCCTGTCTAAGTAACCCAATTCCCTGAGGCTTTTGAGAATCAGTTTCCATAACCATTAATTACTGTTTCATCACCTGACTTTGTTCCTGAAATCGACAATATTTCCTTCACCTTCTTTCACAATTCATCTAATGGTGGCATTTCGTCAAAGGAAGCTGTCAAGCTATCACAGCTTAGTGGGCATCTCGGTGTCCCTACAGTGTTCCTTGAACTGAGAGGGGCAGGAGGGGAGATGGAATGGGAGGAAGAGACACCAAAGCCCTGCTCTAGCTGATCATCTGTCAGGCACAGAGGAATTTTATCCACAGTCAAAAATCCCAGGATTGAAGCATGTGTTTTACAAACCCACAATGATTTCTGTAGTGTGTTCCAGGTGGAAAATAGAGCATACATTCGTGGTGGTCCGTAGATTCCTGGCATAAGCTTATACTTCTGTGTCCATTATGCAGATGCACACTGCTCTTCAGAAAGTGAAGCTACGTTTTTCTGCTCATTGGTGAGTTATCTTTGGTTGCTTTTGCCTTCAGAAGTATTTTCAGCTCATTCACTTTTTGAAGTCTCCTCCCTGGGCAGGGTTTTATTTTTGCAATCAACAGATCTCTGGAACCTGAACCTTTTAGTCCTTATTACCACATGAAAATGATTCTGTCTTTCTTAGCCCCATGTAGGCTTTGTTCACTGAACACATTTTATTTTTTAATCTTCTCAGTTGCATGTGATTTAGCATTAGATCAACTGAGCATACATCAAAAGAGAGGATGCTTTATTTGAAAGACACTCTATTGCCATTAATGTCAGATAAAAATTATGTCTGTGTGTTTCATTATAAGGCTGGGGAGAGAACCATGAAGGGGGAGAATAATGTAAGATTACGTAATTGTAAAATCCCCTAGCCCTAATCTAACAACAGTTGTTCATGAAAACACACATAAGCATTGACAGTTTCAGATGTGGATGTTTGTGTCAAAAGATGCTCTCAGCCAGTTCAGAGGGGCTTGGATGAGCATCACAGAGGGAGATGCACAGGTGCATCTGCTTCTGCAATGCCTGTCTCTCATACAGCATCTATGAGGATAACCATCCATGACTAAACACACTGTTGAAGAATACTTAGGGTCTCTAGTCCTTTATCCAATGTGACTCATCTCAGAAGGATACTATGGTTGATAACATGGAAAACCACTGAGAGGTCAAATGGAACTCACAGGGACACAGTCCTCCTGTTCTGCAGATTGTTCAACAAAGTGATCAAAACAAACCCTGCCTGTAACTGGGCCTGTCACCAGACTGAAGTAGATCTAGATGATACCAAGGCTTCAAGAGAATCACCTGCCAAGGTGACAGGAAAATCCCTACAGGCCATCAGAAAACCCGGAGCCATCTTGGGATGGATCACCTTAGCCTCCCATCCTGCAGTGGCTCAGATCTCCTCACTAGGTAATGGTCTGCCTATGATCACAGAACTTGTGAAAATTCCTCTACCCTGGAACCACCATCACAGAAAAACATTATCAAGAATAGATCCTGTCCTTTCTCTTTGTGACAGCCTTTCAAGTAC